TAAGTTGGAACAAAAATGGAAACAAACCTTCTTTTTAAATTAAATACCATAGTCTAGTAACTCCAGCAGGTGATCGACAAACAAATTCCATCTCTGTTCCTTTATCCTGTTGTATGCACAAGGTAAAACAGGGTCAGAAAGTTTTAAGCATTGTGCTCATTCGTAATATGTATCTTTATTTCAGATGATGATGAAAAAACTCTTTTTGTCAAGAACTTGGCAGAGTCTGTGACTGAAGACTCCTTGAAGTCTTTCTTCTCTGACACTGTAGAAGTCAGACTTCCTTCCCGTCCAGATGGCGCTCACAAAGGGTAAAGGGATATTCATCTTTGTATATCAATGATCAGTTGTTCAGCTAGTAATGAACTATTATTATCGGGTTTAGTACTACATTTGTATAATCTGTATCCATTGTTTTCACTTTGTGAGACTTTGATTCTGTTAAACAAAAAAAGAAATGTAAGGGCATTCAAAAGTTTATTTTCAAAGAAAAGTGTTGATGTTAAATAGGTAGTAATGTATTGCTTTGGCGGTCTGAATTTGTGATAGTTCTTTTAAAGATGAACAATTTTTTGCATTATTGGCATTTGTGTGTTGTGAACTGGTTATGAGTGCATAATGATATATGTATACATATATATTGCATTTCAAATTTCAGATTTGCTTATGTTGTATTTGATGATGAAGCCGCCGTAGAACAGATGATGAATGACCATCAAGGTGAAGACTTGGAGGGATCATCCTTGTTCTTGGACTATGCTGGCAGTCGTGGAAGCAAAGCAAAATCTGCCAGATCAGACTATAGTGGGGGAAGTGGTGGACGGAGGTCTGGTGGGGGAAGTAAGCTGTTTTGTTTCCCTATCCATTTGTCTTTTCAAAATGCCGGAATATTAAAAATCAATATTAGCACTGTCATTGTAAAGAAAACAATTTTTTGTATGTTTCAGGTAGCATGACTGAAAAAAAATTCGTTGGTCAGTCGGGGGTTTATTTTTATTGTTCTGTTTTAAAAAATAAATAAATTTGAGGTGACGGACTACTCGTAAGAAAAATTCAAAAAAGTAACCAAACATATTTTTCAACCTTTTAAATAATAATACAGGTTTAAATTACGATTTAAATTTGGTTTTGATGCCTGCTAATGAAATATAGAGGGCATGTTTATAGTTGCCTTGGTTGTTTGTCCATCAATTTGTTTGCATCCGGTGGACAAGTAATTCCAACACTGGATGGAGTGCAGTTTGGGTACCTGAAACATGCATATATTTTTTTGTCTTAGCAGTGAATTTATTTTATCATCAATTCATGTATTAAGAGTCGTATCAATGCTAAAATATTGATGTATGTGTGTTAATTTACTTGCACTACAATAATGGTCACCTCCGATGTCCAGCTACCTGGTGGGAGTCGCCATTTGAAACCAGGTCTTTTTATAAATACTGTTACAAGTAACACAGTTTCAGTTCACCAGATATTAAATGCCTTTGGAACAGTGCATGCAGTGTCAACCGTCTGTCTTGCCAACTTTATTATTTGAATGGCTTCTTGAAAACTTGGGTCATGTCATTTTGGCAGTGGGTACCTGGGTATCCTTCAACTTACAATATATTGATGTATCAAATTATTTTTTAAGTTGTGATCAAACATGCAACAAAGGCAAATTATTTGTGTGAAATGGTAATCTGACTAATTCAAGTTTTCTTCTTATTCGTTCATTCAAAAATTTAATAAAAACTATGTTTTCCCCATAGAATTTAACTAGTGCTGGTTGTGTGAGCAGAGCGAGTGACTTTCACCTCCTTCCACTTGTTAGTATTATTGAAGGTTTGTTTATATGGAAATATTTTATGATTTCCAGGTGCAAATTTTGAACCTGTTTGTTAAGTTCTCTCAAAAAGATATATGAACGTCAGCAGTGCAGTATGCAGGGATGACAATCAGGTGAAATTGAACATTAAAACAAGAAAGAAAAGGGTAAGTGTTAATTTTCAAATGAAAAATATTATTTTATTACATAGGCGGTGAAAAGACTAAGGTTCTTTTTATAAAGAACTTATCATACAATGCAACTGAGAAGGACCTTCTAACTGCATTTGGTGGATGTGAATCTGCACGACTGATCAGGTTTCCCGATACTGGAAAACCAAGAGGGTTGGTATCTTATACAAGATTGATCACCAATTCAAACAAGATTGATAGTCATTATACATGCTGTTGAAACTACTGGCCAACTGATCTTCTCAGATTACTGAAAATACACATTTCTTATTAGTTAACATCCACTGAACCTGATGTGTAAATGCTTGTACACATTAGAACCATTCAACATGAATCAAACCAGTTAAGTACCGTCACATTTCAAATGAATCCTGCAACTAACATTTTGATTGGTGGAGGTGGAGCCATATACAGGATGATAGGTGAAAATTACTGTAGGTGAAGCTT